CATTTTAATAGATAATAATTAAAATATTATGTTACAACTCAATGATTATCCTAATTATATTTTAGATTTTTTATATTTAAAATGAGATGTTTATCATGTATTTGATTATGTTTATCTGCAGTTAGTTACACAAATTCATATATTGAGCTTTAATAAGTTGTACTTACGCACAATCTACTTGCAATCTTGAGTTTTAAGTAATATGCATTAATAAATAATATTTTACGTATAAAAAGTGAGTTTTAAGAGTTTTTGTCAAATGTTTTATAATATAGTATAGATACTATATTAATTTGGGTTGGATATCCAAGTTAATCATTAAAAAAAACCTTGATTAACAATTGTATTGTTTAAAAGGATAAGGTAACTGCAAAAAGAATGCGTACTAAAAAAAATCAAAATCTAACATACAACTATTATATACAAAATGTTAAGTGATTTCAGTGTCATCAATCATTTTGATGTGATTGTGATCGATTAAGGTGGTTAGACAAACAAAAATGAGTTAGGAGGTCCGGAGTGCACATTCACATAGATTGCCCCTATCACCTTAGATCGCCATAAGACGGGGGGTCAAAGGGCCAAAGATATGAACTTTGAGTTCAGACTCGTGAATTTTTAAACTTACCAAAATCAACTAAGGTGGCGTTTAGGTAAGCGCTTACAAGTCATATTATCTTACCGGATGAATATGACAAGGATCAACAATCTGACTCGGTAAGAGCGAAAGCAAAAACCGAGAGTCTTACCCAGTAAATGAGGGCAAGACTCTTACCATGGTAAACGTTTACCGGGTAAATTGTTGCATACAATACCATTTTGGTGGATAAAATCTTACATGGTAAGTAAGCAATAGTGTTGAATTTTACTGGTAAACACTTTCCGAAAAGTCTGACGTCTAGACCTGTTGTTCAGACTACGTACCAAGTCTGAGCTAATGGATTCAGACATCTTAACCTTCTTGTTCAGACTCGTGATCTGTATCGGACTAAGTATGAGCTAATGTAGTCAGACTTCGATCTCTAAACTCTGATTCGGTTGTAACCGCTCTTCAATCTTATCCATTAACAGTTATTATCTATAACCGCTCGTAACCATTGATTAAAAATGTAAATACAAGAATCTGGGTATAATAATCTCGATTTCACAGCATTTGAAGCTAGAGAAAAAGTCAAGAATTATCTCAATACCGAATTCATGAACTCAAGGCTGTTAGGGTCGAATTATAGTATTTCTTGAGTTTATCCGGTCATATTATCATCTCCACAACCCTCTCTCTAAAAAAAAAAAAAACACACATCTATCAAAGGAAATAATGTACAATTCTTTGAGTTTATCTGGTCCTATCATCATCTCCCACCCACTAATAGGTGCAAATTTTCAAAAATGTAAAATATGACACGACTAATTGAACAAGTTAAATTCAAATTGTTAAGATGAGAAGCTAAATCAAAACTAAATATCGCTGTAAATTGGTCAAAATGAAGATGACAATAAGAGGAAAAGGAATCCGAAAATAATACCTCTTCAACAGCTTTTTCTCTCAGACGTTCAGGGAGCCGCAACACTTTGATCTGCAGAAGAAGAAGAAGAAATCAGGCAAAACCCTCGCTAGTTAAACAGTGAAGAAGAAGAAGAAGAAGAAGAAGAAGAAGAAGAAGATGATGATGATATCAACGTTCAGACAACCAAAATAATTCAATTAATCAATCAGATCATTTTGCATTAATCACCTCTGACTCCATTTTCCAACCGATTGAGCCGAGCTTCACCGGATCCGACTGGTGGAGCAAGTTTATAAACTCATCGGCGTCTAAGTTCGGCCTCTCCTACGACTAGTAGTACCTGACTGATAAGAGCTTAGGTGTTTAACCAAGAACCCAAGCTTCCACGTTCTTTTTTATCATCCTTTCTTAAACATTTTACTTTGATTTTATAAATTTATAAACATATAATTCTAAATAAATACGAAAAGATATAATTAATATTATATAAAATATGTTTATTAATTTTGTTTTACTTTTTCTTTCTTATGTATAGATTAATTTTCAAATACTTATATATAAAAATTAAAATTAATGTATAAAATCGTAAACTAATAATGGTACAATATTTTTTTTAATATACAAAATCTTTTACTTATCATTGAAGAAGAAGCAAATTCATACAAATATTTCAAGATTCCACCTTTGAATCCCAATATTATCTTTAAAAATATATTAAGCTGTACTTAAATGAAGTTTATCATCAACTCTGTTCTAACTTGATTGAATGTATTTGGCCAACCCAAAATTATGATTGAACCACAAGGGTGGTGCCTGATTGGTTTGAACTTGTATCCAAAGGTCAAATGTACCAGAAGGTCTCAGGTTCAAATCCAAGGAGAAATAAAAATCCCCTTGTGGCAACGGAGGTTCAAATGCGATGACTCCGGGCTATCTGCAAAGCAAACAGTCATCTTGGGATTAGTCGGCTCACATAACGGGTTGAATATCCAGGCTAATAAAAGAAATTATGATTGATCTATATTACTTTTTTAATTGTAATATAAAATTTTATTTATATTTCAATTGTTTTTTAAACATACTAACAAAATATAGAAATTAACAAATAAAAATTAATATTGAAAAGTGAATATATAATATTAAATTTATATAGTAATTTATAAATAAAGTTTCATTCAAAATAAATAATGGAATAAAGAATTTCATTAAAGTTTTTATTTTGTTGATTTAAAATAATTTAAAAGACAAAAAATTATGAAAAGTATATATTTAAAACATTTTGATAAAAATAAATTAAAATGATGACGTATATCGAATGACGTATGTGTCCACATAATGTGGATATTTCTAATTAAATTGACTTGACCGTGAATGACTAGGCGCTGAATTGTCTGTCAATTTTCATTTCAAGGACTGTAAATGCATAATAAAAGTAGAAGTGGACTAAAAATGATACTAGACTAATAATCAAGGGACTATTCTTGTAGTTAATCTTAACTTCAGTTATAAAGTGGCTACCAATGGCATCCCTATTGCCGACGACTAGAAACAGCTGAAATGGCGACCACATTCGAAACAAATCAAAGGAATATCTTCACAACCGATCAGTCATCGGAAAGATCGATCGATGCCGTAAGCGACTTCCTCACGGAAGCCGTCAACAGCTTCTTCCCGTATATTATCGGGGTCTTCAACCATTGGCTCGACGTCGCCATGCCCTATCTCATAGGTGTTGCCGTTTTGTACGTATGTATATGTTGCTTGTCCTTTTTGTTCAAATGCATCACTGCAATTCTGATCGTCTGCTTCAGTGTCGTTCGCTTCTTCTTTACGTTTATTGGTAGGTGTTTACGCTTTGGAAGAAGAGATATGAGGGCACCTGGTAGGCCTTCGAAGATGATATCAAGAGATGCATTTCGAAAGAACCCTAGTGGGTATTTTCGTGACCTTCGTGGCAAGCCTAATGACTTTGTTTACTAGTTAACGTTATAAAGCATTTTTCATAAAAAACGATTGTTTTACTCTTTTGAGTAGATGTCAGGTCGAATTGATATATATCCCGTCACATCTTTCTAATGAGATTTATGGGGTTAGTATGGTTTGTTTTGATTATTTAGTTAAAAGTTGTTGTAATTTACACGCTAGAGCGTGACTGATGAATTCTAATCCACCAGGTTGTATTTGTCGGTTTGAATATGATGCTTATTGTTTTTCATGAGATTATGATTCTATTCGACATTTCAAACAATAAATCTGTCGTTTTCTTAATCGAGATTTATTTCAAATATATGTTGAGTGACACATGAAATTGTGATTTATTTCAAATGTTTTTGTAAACACTTTTCTAGAAACTTTACCTTAAACACACAGCTTTGTAGTATTGTAAGTGCTTTTATGATGCCCTCCTCTTTATTAAAGGCATAATCATAGCTTTATGTTCTTTTTCCATGTGGGTGAAGGAACTTTGAATACCATTCCTAATCTTCGGACATTACAAGGATTTTCATGGTTTGTATTTCGTTACAGTTTTCATATTTGGTTTTTTCGTCTATTTGTCGTTGCTGTTAAATGTCTTTGCATTTTGTTTTTTGAACGGCAAAAAAAAAAAAAAAAAAAAACAATGTACAACTAGGCCGTTCCTGTGGAGGGCGGGCCGGGCATACGCCCTGGACCCATAAAAATTAGGGGCTCAAATTATATATATAGAGTTTGTTTCAAATACAACATGTTGCATTTGTACAACCAATGCAACCCAATAAATTAAGATATTTATGGAAATGATGAGAGTTCATTTATTATGATTTGAATATTTATGAAAGATGAATATGGTTCATTAATTATGATCAATACTTTATATTAGGAAACAATCAAAACTTCTATGAAATCACATATTAATCAAATGAAATGGACGGTTGAGATTGAGTTGTATTGGTTGCACAAATGTCATAGGTTGTATAATAACCAACCCCCTCTCTCTCTCTCTCTCTCTCTCTCTCTCTATATATATATAATTGTAGTTCAAAAAATTAATAAATATAAGAGACATAAAAAAATTAGTATCTAATATGATAAGAAAAGATTTTGGTACTATACGAAATGTTAATCCCCGTACCCATCGGGGCCAGGGGCTGTTACTAAAAACCGGGATCAGGGCTGGGGATTACGAAACCCGTCCCATCCTTGCCCCGTTGCCATACTTGAACCTAACACCCCATTCCCTCCCTACATCGTAATTTTCAACAAACCATGAGGACCAAATCGTAATTCACTCTTGTAGGTATTTGACTTTAAGGAAAGAACATAGGAAAAGCAGTCTAGTCACGAGTCACCAATTCCACCAAAAAGAAGTATAAATTATGAAGGCTAAACTACATTTTTGGTCCTTGGTGTTGGCTCAAATTTAGGATTTAATCTCTAAAAAGCATCAAGTTTCCTAATGATCCTTGTTTCATGAGATTTTGTGATAAAGTAATCCATTAAGTAAACACCGTTAACAAGTAGGACTATTTAGATTGTTTGTTTGTTTGTTTTTTTTAATTTTTTAGAGACATTTATGTCTTATTGTTTTTTTATCTGGTAAGAGCTGAATCAGCCTCTTATTGTTTTCTAGATCCCCAGCAACGACGTTTCTCATTCGATTAACCTTAATCGATCTTTTCTCTCAATTGATCTTTACCAAATCGATCATCACCTCTCTTAATTAATGTATTTTAATAAGATTTAAATGCGTAAACGTCAGTTTACATATGTAATAAATAATAAGGAGAGACGAATTAATTTATTGGTAGTTTAATATTTAAATTAATAAAAATAAAAAATCACAGCGAATGCAATTTTTAACGTCGAAATCGGAGTTTTAGGGTTTTAAGGATATCGTCGTTTGAAATTGTATTTGGAAACCTAATCAACGGCGGCTGTGGCTAACTTACGAACGGAATCTCCATACGCGACGGCGACAAATGATGAGCAAACTGCACCCAAAGCTCAGGCGATTCTCCATAGCCGACGACTTGCCGGAAAAGTTAACCATCAATTTCGATGACATCTTAACACAAATCATCTCCACCGTCACCAACTTCCTCCAGTATCTGATTGGTCTGTTCAACCAGGAATTTCCGCCGGAAACCCCCCGTCACTGGTTCGACGTCGCCGCACCGTATCTCATAGCCGCCGCATCCTTCCTCGCGTGCCTGTTCGTCTTCCACTTGTTCTTCTCGTGCATCTCTTCCATTCTCATCCGCTGCTTCAACGCCGTGTGTTCATGCTTCCCCTGTTTTGATCAGTGTTTAAGCCGTAGAGAAAGATCGGAGGAGAGGATGATGATAGCTCCAGGTAGATCTCCATGGATGTTGCCAAGGGCTGCATTTGAAGCTAATCCGAGAGGGTATTTCCGTGACCTTCGCCGGCAGCCTAATGATTTTGCTTATTCGACATCACATACGAATTGGTGATCTTAGGTTCAACACTATCCCTATCGTATTATTATATGTAAATTCGTTTATCATTTCAAATCATCAGATTTCAACAGCCAAGGCAATAGATGCCGATGAGTTCTGTGTTTCCTTATTTGCTTGTTTTCAGAAATTTGATGACGATCAACAAAACCCTAGCTCTGGTGGTGAAGAAAACCCAAATTCGGGGATTTTGTTATAATTTTTAGTGATAACAAATCTAACCTCATTGGTTGAAACAAGTAAAATAGGAAAATTAATTCAAATGACCATTTTACATATCTAAATTGGTTTTCTATTCATTTTTCTCATGAGTTTATTCAAATGTCATTACTTTCGTAATATTCATGTCCTTAATATTAGCTAGGTCTGCAACATTAGCTAAAAGATTAAAAAATATATATTCAAATTCAACTAGTTTACCATCGCAATTGCTGACGTGACCGTTTTCTTGCGGACATAGCTGTCGCATTTGCAGATTTGTGTTGAATTTGATTTTTTTTGTCTTTTAGCTAATATCACAGAATTAGTGACATTTGGGTAAACACATACGAGAAATTGTTAGGAGACCAATTTGAGTATGAGAAATGATCATTTGAGTCAATTTCCTAGGAAAATAATCCATCTCTCTCATCAGGGGCGGAACACAAACCTTCTAACCGTAGGGGCCGAAACTAGTATATTATATATTTCAAACTTCAAAGGTACCAAAAATACATTATCCAAAGTTATAACATAGTAAA